CTGCTCTATGAATAATTTGTGGCGGTATAACCGGTGCTGGCTTGTCTCCAGGTACAGATATGAAGCAGATGTCTTCAGCGTGTCGCTGCCAGCAGGTTACAGCTGACTGTGAAGAGAAAAACTGCTGAAAAAGATAAGGCCAGAGGGCCATGGCCTCATAGGTATAAAAGAGCTGATTTCACACAATATGGCAAGGTGTTATGACATTTAACCCAAGCCCCGCCTTATGTTCTGTCAATTCAGATAAATACAATTTCTCACAGTAAACCTCCAATTTTGATTATTAAAAGAGTAATGATTAAGACTATATTTAATATCCATACCAAAAAAATTAGAATAAAATGCAAGAAAAAGTTTTTTGACCATCTTTAAGGGTTTAATATATATAATATATATAATAATATACATATGGTGGCTACCAGAGGTTGCATATTGCACGAGTAAGACTAATGCACTTTCCAAATTCTTGCAACGTGGAAAAAAAATAAATAAATCAGAAGAGTCAACATGGCGGTCTTCTGCCGGACCGGTTGAGATGACTCTGATGAAGCTTTAGCTACAATGATGGATTGAATCGGGGTCATCTGAATTGAAATCCGACGTAGCGCGACAAAATGGGACAAAATACCTGCTGATAGGAGGAGAAGTCTTATTGACAGTAATAGGAATCATTTGATAGCATTAAGTCATCGTTATTTTTGTCCAGAACTAATTCATGAGTTTATTTTTTAATTCATTCTATTGAAGCATATTTAAAAGCAATGTCTGACTTTCATTTGTGCATTGTATTGAATTATCTATTTATTGTGAGTTTTGTCAGATTTAAGTTATTTCTGTGACCACTGTGTATTTTTCTTTCGAGCAGCACAAAACAATTGTGTCCAAATGTGTATCTCCTCAGGTCACCTGATATTCATTACATTTTTTCTTTAGACTTTGACTTCTTTTTGTTTTAATCGAGCGACCATATTCAGAGGATTTATTGACACCTGCTACATCTAGTCCAAGACAAACCAAAGTTTGGTTTCCCCTTTTGGTCGGGACCTTTTGAGCAGGTGTGACGTTACAGCAAACGAGGGGTACCAACAATTTTTTTAAATAAGGAAATATAATAAGTAGTATGGGGTCAAAACTGGGTGCGCCCTGTAACTAAATGAGCTCTAATGCTGGTTTCCTAAAAGGGTCTTATATCTCTCTATGAATGCAAGTCTCTTCAAAAGTATTAAGTTAGTTGAGCTATACAAGCTTAATGTGTACTTTTTGCTTATAGTAATATTTTCACAAAACAATATTTTTCTGATGCATTGAGTTTCCATTCTTTTTTTTTTTGGTAGTTTTCAACTTGATGCATTAGTGCACCAGGTGATTTGCTTTTGCCACATGCTTGTAATTCACTACTTCTGGAACAAACAATTCCCCTGTAAAAACGTACTGATTATTCATACCAATATACTAACATTAACATTGAAAAATATAAAATTCATGCTCTTTTCTGAACTACTTGTTGTGTGTTATGGGGGAGAAGAGAAAGCCATGTGTCTGCACATCATGTAGATGTCTTTTATGTAGTTAGAGATAATACATTATGCAGGTAATATATTACATTGAACCATAAATGATTCATTTAGACAGCATAAAATATATATTAATGTATTCATACTTGCTGTATTAGCAAGGTGCTCATGAAAATCTAGACAGTCTTCAATGATTTATATGGAAAATACTGATGTTGCGCTAGTTAATTTTCTTGTTTGAAAAGGGTGATTAGTGTAGATTAGCCCTGAACTGGTTCTGATGTCTATTAGTGTTGTTTAAATCAATGAATATCCTTATGATATCAGTAACAAAGTAATTCCATGCTTCAACTAATAGGTGCATGAGTGTGTCTCGGAGTAAGTATTTGGATCCCTGAAATGTTCTCACGTTAGTAAAAAGATGCCAGATTTAATCAAATAAATCATAAAAACACATTACATTGACAAGGTGTTATTGGATTTTACAGAGCAATTCCAATAAACACTTAATAAAATACCAGAGGAACAAAAAATAGGATTTAATCTGTCAGATATTATAATTCCAGATTAATCTTTTTCCTTATTTATAGTGAAATGAAAATTCTAAAATGAATGTTTCTATAAATTATAAGAATAGATTAAACTTTCATGATAACCTTTAAAGGGAGACCGCACACTTTGGACCTCTTCTGTGCATTCAACATGGATGCTCCTTCGACAGCTTTGACCTTATGCCATCTAGTTATGTGGTAAATCAGTTTGATCAATACAAAGAAGCCAGTATGGATTGCTTATATGCATGGAATGAACTGGTGAACCTTGGAACAACAGCTATGGCTTCATCATGGGATACAGTGCTGCGTTAACCAATCCACCTTAGTGAGTCAGTAAGTAAAACAGAAAAAGGTGACATTTTAGAAACAAGGATCAAATCATTCATTAATCTAAGTTATAATACATAACATTTTTAAATCTAAAAATTCAGGCTTGAATGTTTTCATTAGACTTTAAAAGATGTTGCAGTATATATCATTAACACATAATAACTCATGCATAAATCTTCTGCAATAATACTTAAAATGTATGCTTGATTAAACATACAAGTAGGATGGTTACAGTATATTGTGTGTTAACAGGAAGCAACTGCTGTTCAATGTTTTGCATTTTGTTCACTGGAAACAAACTCATAGTTGGAAGGTCTGCTCTGACTCAGGCTACTCTAACATATTTTTCTTTATCTACGAGGGGCGTTCAATAAGTAATGCCCCTGACCCACTTCCAGATGTTTGATTGAGCTGAAATTTTGCATGTGGCGTTATTTAAATCTCTATAGATTAAGTAGCAAATCACATGTCTGAACTGTTTATGGTTTCTGACTTACATGTGTTTGAACTGAGTAAAGTCCGAAATGGAGCCTGTTGAGTGTCGAGCAGTGATCGGGGTTTTCTATGTGAAAGGACTCACACCACGGGAGACTTTTGATGAAATTAAAATAACTTATGGTGATGATGCCCATTATATGATGGGACATTATCACTATAAGTTACTTTCATTTGATCAAAAGTCTCCCATTGTGTGCGTCCTTTCAAATGCAAAAAACTCAGACTTGACTCGGTTTTAACACCAGTAAATCAGAAACCACAATTAGTTCAGAGCTGTAATTTGCTATTTAATCTATAGAGATTTGAAATACTTCACATGCAAAATTTCAGCTCGATCAAACATCTGGGAATGGGCCAGGAGCATTGCTTATTGCACGCCTCTCGTATATTTTGCTTTTTTTTATCTGCATACTCTGATTTCATTTCTTAAACAAACTGTAATATAGAAAATGAAAGCAATATTCTAATTATGATTTTATTTAACAGTGCAAATCAAACCAACCCGACCCTATTATATATTATTGCCCCCCTTTGATAAATCAACTGTTATTTATGTAACTCTGATCGATCAAGTTTGTTTATATCACTAGCCAGTCCATGCCTGACTACTTTCTACTTTCAACAATCTAGCATTTTAATGGAGATGTGTATATTTTTTGGAGCAAAAGTTAGTGCTGTGGCCACTAAAAAGGGCCCTCATTAAGTGGAAAGCTCTAAGTTTAGATTCTGATTGGATGTTGTTAGCTGGCACCATAAGAGGGATAAACTGATACCCGAAAGGAACATATGAGTGGCAAAAATTGATTTTAACTGAATAATTCAAAACACTTTTTTAAACTTTGCAATCAATAATGTCTATGTGTAAATGTTTTAGGTGGTAGTTTTTGGAGAATTGTAATGTCTTGGATTTTAAATTAAAATTGTATCTGTTGTGATTAATATGCTGCTGCTGTCACAGTCTTGGTTCTGTTATGTTTACTACTTTGATCCATGTTTTCAAGTTTTATTGGTTTAATTCATATTTTGTTGAATTTTCTGGATATATTTGAGTTCTTAGGTTTTTATTCATCACCCTCCTGTGTTTTTTCTTCTTTTCCTTAGCTCCTTTCTAGACTCCTCTCTTCATACCTGCTCCCAATCAGCTCTCTAGTCCTCTCTTTGTTCATTCTCCCATAAAATACTCTCCTTGTGCAGTTCCTCAGTCCTCAGTTCCTCACATCTTACCTTGTCTCTCCTTGCCTTTTCCTGACCCCATGTGCTGTTCCCCTGATTTCTCTATGGTTCTGGTTTGTTTTACATTTTTTCATGTTGGATTTTTGGATTCCTCGCTCAGTTGCTTGTCAACATTCCATTAAATCTACAAAAACTCACCTCTGCCTCCCTGCCTCTGCATTTGGGTCCTCTAACCACAACCAAACCCTGACAGCTGCCCTCTTTGACAAGTCTCTCTTGCAAAAGAGATTTTAAATTGTAATGAGACTAACTTGGTTAAATGTAAGGTTAAAAAATAGCAATTAATTTTAACTAAGTTTGATTCCTTTTAATTCCCATGAGGGTTTTTTTTATACTACTTTATTGTGCATTTGACCAAAAAGGATCTCCATTGTAAAACAAAAACTTTTTTTTTGTTGTTGTGTTTCATTTTAGTGAAAAATGGCTGATTTGCAATAAAGGGTATTGAAATAGAATAAACACGTAAGGTTTTTCCTTTTAGGTTTAAATCTTAGTTTTAAGTTTCATTTATTGTATATTTTTAATAAAAATAAATGTCATATGCTTTTTTTTTGTGTAGCAAATAAGACATATTGTAAAGTTTGAAAAATCCATTTGATATGCAGACGTGTGAACTTGCTTTTAGCCATGCATCAAATTAGAAATTTTACCTTTAAATCTAAAGGTTAAAAAAAGCTAATAATGATAAAAAAAAATTTCGCCCGGATGGCGGCGCCGTCGAGCCACAACAATCTGGGGTACGTCACCCCGTCAAGCTCAGCTGGTAGGAGCCGATGGCGCGGTATCGCGAGAGCGGCGTAGCGCGACTGGATGGCGCTGGTGGTGGACTGAGAAAGGAGGAGGGGGGACTGGATGCGCCCACGGCTCGCCCTCTCTTCCGTCTGATCACACGGTAGGACACGCGATCGGATGCGCTGCGCACTGGCGGCGACAGCAGCCGGGGTGAGTAAAATCTGCTCAACGTGTTCTGGAGGAAATCAGATCTCCTGAAGGCGACTCTAAAATTGACTTGAAGGGACAGAGTAGATCTGTTTGTCTCCCTATGATCTTTACATTGCATCTTCCAGATGTGTGTGATGTGCTCCAGATGTGCGCTCTAAGGATGGCTGTCATGTTTTTCCTCCATCATCTCTAATATGCTGACTAACACCACTGTCAGCAGCATCAGCATCTTTATCAGCAGGGCAGCTTTTATCCCCAGTCAGCTGCTCTCTGTTATTGTTCAGTCAGGTGGTGAATGTTGTAACATAACTAATTCCCTCTATGACAGGCTTTAACAGTTACAGGTGTTACAGTTCAGAATGTTCCATCATATCAGCCACGCGCTCTGGTCTGCTGACCCTGATCTGCGCGTTGGACAGTTTGGACAGGACTGTTTCCGGACTTGTTGATGGATTTTCGGGAGATCCCAGCAGCTTACCCCCCTACTCTTCCCCCTCCAGTGGGGGGGCGACTGTAATTTAAAGTTGCGGGTTTTGATCCGCCTGATTAATGACTGTGGCACAGCCAACAGCTCCATCACATTATAGGTATGGTGGCACAGGCGTGTGCCTCGTGCGCACACGTGAGTACTCAAAATAGATAGATAGATAAATAAATAAAATTGATACTGACATCATTTTCATTAGAAAATTGCTTTCTTTTTTTTAAGCTGAAGGGTCTCTTTGTGAAGCAGACAACGTGGGTCTTAAACCGAGAGATGTCCCCACAATACGATGAATACGCACACGCGCGCAGACACACAACACCTTCGCCCTTCAAAATGAGCTCAAATGTCGGCTCGACATTTAGGTTTTTAATTCCCCTAAGCTTAGGTTTGTAGAAATGAAGCAGAAATTAGCCGACCTGTTCACACAATACACTGTGCCTCATGGCGTTATTTATTTATTTTAAGCTTAAAGCACTGCCATTCCTGATTTTATCTGGATGTTATTTGTTAGAACAAAGCAACGTGGTGAATAATCTAAATTTGAAGATTAATATACATCTTTTATTTATTTATTTTTTGGTAATGAAAATCTGAAAAGTGTGTCCTGCACATATACCATGCCCTTCAAGTCAACACTATTTATGTTTTTTTTTTTGTTTTTGTTTTTACACATATACATGTTTGTAAATTTGCTTGTAATTTTTGCAAAATAGGAAACAATAGTATGGCACCATATTTGAACCTAATTTTCACATCTAACATTCTTTCCCTATGTTTGTTGCCCTTACTCAGGTACAATTGTGCATTCATACTACCCATGATTCTAGTGACAAAGTCGCTGCATACAGTTGCTATCGCTCCCCAGCAATTCTGATGGGGGGCAACAAACTCAACTCCTGTTGTTTCACATCGTCATCAAATAAAAGAAGCTTCTAACCAGTTTTAACTCAGCATGTTGATTATATTGAACTCCCCACCATTTTTCTCAGTAAATATACTTCTAGAGGTGCTATTGACATGACATTTCACCAGATCCATCCATCCATTTTCTATCACGCTCATCCCAAGCAATGTTTAGAGAGGCACTGGTGCCTATCTCCAGCTGTCTACGCGCAAGAGGCGGCATACAACCTGACAGGTCGCCAGTCCATCGCAGGGCAACACAAAAAACCATTCATGCACACACTCACACCTAAGGATAATTTAGAGAAGCCACTTAACAGTCATGTTGTTGGACTGTGGGAGGAGGCGAGAGTACCCAGGGAGAACCCGCGCATGTTTAGGGAGAATATGCAAACTCCATGCAGAAAGCTCCCAGGCCAGGAATTGAACCCAGAACACTTCTTGCTGCAAGGCAGCAGTGCTATCCACTGCACCACTGAGCAGATGTTGGTTATAATCCATGCAATCCACACATACAAAGAAACCATACCATAGATGTCAGAAATTAAGTTGTTTGTAATAAAGTTAAATAGCACAGGGAAAACGTATTGAACACATGAAGAAAGGGAGGTGCAAAAAGGCAAGACACCAACTGAACTCTCCCATCTGTCCCTTGAGTTTAATTATAGTTTAACTGTATTAACACATCAGCTCTTGTCCTCACTTATATTTCTATAACTTCTAAGCTTTGGCTTAGCGTTCATGATAATCTATAGAGACAGCACATCCAGCCTTTTCTCCCTTTTGTACACATAGGAGGGATGCACTTAAAGATTGCTTTGACAAGTGTGTCCTCATGCATTTGTCTGGCGTTTTTATATCATCATTACACAGAAGCCAACATGGTCTGGGTATGCAAAAGGGATCATATGACATCATAAATGCATTTGGTTGGATAGAGCTAGTCTTGGCGCACTTTCTTTTAAATTCTATGTTGGAATAAAAGAACTCTGATCTGTAAAGACTTCCACAAAATTGAACATTTTAAAGCAAAGGATATGGAAATCTCTAACATTCACTAGTTAGTTAAATCTTTAGGGCATTTCTAATGTGCTGCTCATGTGTGACTGATCCCTGATTGGGTTTTCAATCAGGGTTGTTAACATTTGAGGCCCCTTTCACATAGACAGGAGATTAGTTGAAACCACAAATATGTTTTTTTTTTTTTTTTGCATAGGTCAAGTATCAATATTTGTTTCAGTGTGTACAAGTGAGCCGCAAGTTTTTTTTTTTTTTAACAATGACCTAGCTTAATCTACCCCCTATAACCCACACATGCCTCTTGAACACCATGGTGCTCACCTGCGCATATTTCAGTCAGCAGTTTGGGTATAATTCTGTTGTGCCACAGTGCCACCAAAAGGCCAGGCATATAAACTGCAGCATCTTCATCGGTGCTGTGTATATTTGCATGGATGCAACTTGTTTTTTTATAATCCGTTTATGAAAAAATGCTGTGTTCATCTTTGTGTAGACCAGGCCCTAGATGAGCTGACATGTTTTGGACTCTGATTCAGCTGCCATACATAGGATGAGGTGAGAACACCGGGAACAATAAGGCTATGCTTACATAGCATATCTCCTGTGACCTTTACACTCAGCAGGCTGCTGTTCCTTTTTCCTATAATTTATACTCTTTCTCAAGAGACTGTAGATCCATAGTTTTTACTTGTAGCCTCTTTTTAAAGTCTTGCTATCCTGATTCCTGCATCTTAATTGTGTTTGTTTATTCTTATCCTTATTAAAAGTCTACTCTCTTGTTTTGTTTTTATTTTTCCTCTTTTCTTTTTCTACCACTCTTCTTTTATAGTTTCCATTCTATCATGATTTTCTCCTACTGCATTTTCCTTTTCTTTCATTTTATTTCTCTTCTCCTCTTGTTTCCCTCTCCTCTAACTTTACACTGACCTAAACTGGAAGTTTGTAAGTATCTCATGTTTCCCAGAATGCATTGTAAATGAGGGTGCTTATGTAATAGCCCTAATATTAAGCCTGTTTTGTGTTTTTTGGTAATAAGATTAGATGTTGACATATGAAATGGATATGATTGGTTCCTTATAGGCTATGGTGTCCAACTGTGTGTGCATACCAGCACACTCTCATATATACTTCAGTGTTGCAGGGTCTCAGCAGGAACATGACCTTGAAGCCATCCTCTCTTAGAAACCAGGGCACATGTGGTCGGCTCCATTTGTTTATTTATTTTTTGCTAATTACTACATATATAACTTTTTATACCAGGTTAGATGTAAAAAAAAACAGAGGTGCAGAAGAGAGGATGAACTCTGGGCTCTCCCTATTGTCAAAAAAGGCTATTTGAGGTTACACATAACCCAGTTATGGGGAAATCACTGTGTGCACGCATGAGAGAGCAGAGCATGCATGTGGTGTGCTTTTGCAAACTGGAAGGAATGAGACAAAGATGAATGGAGGACAAGGTGGAAATAGTGAATGAGAAAAGAAAAATGATAAAATGGACAGAAGAAAGAATGACTAAAATAAAGTTGTTGTTTTTTTTTTTTTTACAGGTATTAGAACTGTAGCCCTTGTATGGCTACATGAGTGGGATGGAGACAGGCAATTGTCCTTGGGGACAGTATCAGCTCTTTGTACAGCTTGCTTTACACTGATGTCACAAGTCACACTGACACACAGCAGGAACAGTGAAAGGCAGTGACAGTATCATCTAAAATGGTGTCAGATTATTTTCAGCTAACTCTGAGGTCAGTTGTTCAGTCGGCGAATAAGGTCTTCTTTGTTAAACATTGTGATGCAGTAGAAAGCAAAGAGACAAATTACTGCAGTCTGATGTGAACCTTTAGGGTGTTATGATTAAAATATATTCTGGTGCAACCCAGTAAATTAGAAAAAAAGTAAAATTTTCCATTGATGAAATTGAAAAAGGTTTAATTACATAACTGTTTATCTCTGTTAATTTGGAAAATTACCCTTGAAGCTAATAAAGAACTTCTAAAACGAGTTTTCTCATGAAATATCAATCTTGTATCAGATCAATAAAAACATGATTTCTAATACAGAAATATCATCTTATGGCCTACAAGGTTATGAGGAAGAATACCTGCTTGACAGCTTTACTGCTGACACATCGCACATGGAAATGAAACCATGAAGGTTCAGTGCCAAAGAAACAGGCATAGTGTGCTATCCAAATTATTAAAGAAACGCTGAGTAGAAGGAAAAGCTTTGGTTGAAGGAAAAGGGAAACAATGTAGGCTTGAGGAGATGTTGAACAGGGCTTAACTTTGAGTTTTGGAGAGATTCAAAAGCCGTGGACTGCAGCTGAAGTCAGAGCGCCAAGAGATGGACTACTTGTGGAGTCCATCTAAGGAGCATCTTATCTGCATTTTGGTCAGGGATATAAAGTTCTGTGTTTAGGTAACCGTTGCATTTAACCTCTTAAAACCCAATACTTCAAATTTTGAAGTATTGTTTTCCTAATTTAAGGTTTAAGTCAAGCTGATTATTCTATGAAGTAGCACATCTAGCTGGAAGTAGCTGGCAAAAAAAAAAAAAATGACCTGTACCTTTTCCCTTCTCACATATTTGTTGA